GGGGGGGTTAATGTACTCTCCTGGCAGTTGCATTTGATATGTTTTATAACAAATATATAGAAAGTAACAGAAAGGGAAACAATCTTTAGTGAAAATATTGTGACTCCAATTGTTGAAATAGTTATTTATCCCTTCCTGAGACCTCTATGCCTGGCCTTTATATAGCAAGTACAATCACCGCAGACAATCTTTATCAGATAGCTGAATTCTCCAAATACTTTTCATCCACGATAATCTTTATTGCGAGCAGCAAGTTACCGGCAGACAATAAGATGTGGTAGATGCTGAACTGCAAGTACTTAAGGCGGTTAAAACAAATGTTTCTTTCTTTAGCCTCAGGGACACATCTAGCCTAAATTGGCTGAATTGAACACTGAGGAAAGGGGCATACGAAGGGGAGGAAACAGAGGAAAGAGGGTGTAATATACTCATTAGCCACAAGATGGCAGCATAACGAATATGAACTATACCAAACACAATGAAACCAATGCAAATGCATTCATCTATAATTGCTGTAGGCAGCACACAAAATTTATAGTACAACAAAAAAAAAACCCCAACGGTTATTAAATTCCACCAAAAGAAAGCTCTATCCGTCTTAAAAATGATATGTAATTAATTTGGATGCATTGTTGCATGACTGAATTGTCAAACTATCACAGAGATGAAAATGTACCGTGTTTCCCCCGAATATAAGACACTGTCTTATATTTTTTTGGGCTCAAAAAACACAATAGGTCTTATTTTCGGGGTAGGTTCTTATTTCTTTTTTTAATGTACAACAATCCACACGTAATCATGTAGAAAAGTCTACATGTATCCATGTACAAAAATATGGTGATCATGGCCATCAGGGGTGCTGTACCTTTCCAAGAGCAATTTGCTAACCAATCGCTGGCCAGAATGAGCGAAGCGCACTTTCACTATGGACTCATCACAGGCGGAGTGCATTTGGTATCACTCCACCGGTGACAGGAGACGGCGCTATAGAGGCGGCATCGGCTTATGTGACTCTGCACCCTCCGGTGCCGCTGATTCTCTCCCGTGGCTCTTAAAGTTCCCCCTTATGCCACCACCGGCCCTGGGAATGGTCATAACTAGGTCTCATTTTCGGGGTAGGTCTTATATTTTAGCAATTCCCAAAGATAGTACTAGGTCTTATTATCGAGGTAGGTCTTATT